CTGTTTGCCTTCTACGCTTCCGGCAAAGTTTCAGTCCTCTGTCCCACTTTTGTTAAAGATATTTAAGGTTCAATTTAAGTCCTAACTGTAATACCCCTAATTTTAAAAGGGACAGTCCTGGAATTTAATAAATTGTTTAAATAGTATTTTTATTTAATTAATTGTTTAAATTGTATTTTATGTAATCAATTGGTTAAATTGCATTTGTTTATTTCTTTGGTGTGGTTTAATTGTTTTAAATTGTTTTAGGGCATTTAATTATTTATTTGCTTTAATTTAATTATTGTATTTTATTTATCTGAATTTAGGGTTTTATGTTTCTAGTTTAGCCGACACTGTTTTAAACCTAGAATATTCAATGGGCCAAGTTATTTATGGATTAGGGTAAATGTTTAAGTCTATAAATATAATCGCATGTGGGTTTAGGGTTTTAGAAAATTCAATAAAACCTATTTACGTAACAGAGTTCTACAAAGAATAGTGAGATACAGAGAGAAAAGAGAGGAGGTTTAGACCAAGGTTGGACCAAGAAGGAGGAAGGAGGAAGGAGAGGTGTTTTTGGGGTTGAACCAAGGCATTGGAGGAGCAGACTTGCAGTATAGGACATGAACATAGCTTACAGAGACGGTAAATTAGAATTTCAAATCTGAAATTCAAAGGCAAGTTCTGTTCTTCTCTCTCCCGTTAATTCGTGTTCTGTGCATGACTAGTTGGACTCCAGGGATTTAATAAATGCTAAAACGGTTGTAAATAAACATAATAACATGTTTTGTGCATATAGGAATTTATGTTTAATCTCGTGAATTAATTGTTTTGCATGATCTTACTATTCTGTTTTTGTTTCCTTCTATGGGTTACGATTAAGCTTTGATGGTTGAGATTAGGGATGCAACTTGATGCCTTGTAACTAATCTGGGACTGAGTTTGAACTCTAGAACAAATTCTTAGAACATGATTTAGTTGCACTAAATTAAACTGAAATAAATTTCTGTTGGAACTTGCTTAAAATTGGACAACAGAGGTTTTGTAATCGTAGCTTTAAAGCTTGTGTTCCATGCATGTTTTAGTTGAACATCAGTGGTTTAATATGTGCCTAGGACTGAGCTTGAACTTAGAACAAAGTTTTAGAAACACCTCAGAGGCTCTGTAATCACCGGAGCTGGAGAAGATGAAGCTAGAATGGGCAAAAGGCTACTGAAGGGGATTGAGCAGGCTCTAAAAAGCCTTAGAGCCGGCTCAAAGGCAAAGGAGCCGGCTCTATCTTTGTTTGGAGCCGGCTCAATGCTAATGGAGCCGGCTCCAAGTGGAAAATTGAGCAGGCTCAATGTTTAATTTGAGCCTGCTCTCTTTTATTGCGCACATATTTGGTTTTAAGGGGTTGTTTGGCTGTGCAGTGTTTTCTGAAGCCGTTTAAAAGCTACTGTGAGATGTAATTAAATTTTAGAGACTTAAATAAATGTTTAAAACATTTAATACCATAATGGTTTAAGGGTAGGAGCAATGAACAGATCAAATAATGGCTATACGTTGCACTGTTTTTACTAGGTTTATATAACTGGAACTTGGCAAAGTTTTATATATAATTCAATTATATATAACCCTATATTGTTACAGTGTTATAAGTATGGTAAATTAATTATATTTATCTATACTTAGTTGGATTTAAATTGACATTTAACTTGTTTAATATGTATCAATTTATTGGCTGTTTTGGAGGATTCAAATGCTATGTCTTATTCTAGCTGTTTAAATGATTGGAGCATGATATTTAGGTTCTGTAGTGAATACCTAATATTGATATATGTATGAATTTATACCAATGCATATACTGGAGGATGGTTGTTGATTATATAGTGTTGTTTTAATAACTATGATATATGGAGAATTTGTATGTACCGGTATGGGACGGTGACATACTAGGTATGGATTAGTCAAACACTAAATCCTACCTAATTTGGATTAAGGTATGGATTAACCCTTTGAGTTAAGTCCATCACCTACTTGTGTCATATCAATCAAATAATTGAATGACTTAATATGGTTTCAGGATGGATTTGCTTTACATTTATCAAACCACTTTTCAGATGGTTGATATTTTGTAATAGGAGGACACGGACTTTATATATTTATTATATGTGCCATGGTATGAGCTTGAGTCTCAGGACCATGGTTAGGGTGCGTATATTGCCTAAGATGGATAGCTGGACAGAGGTGTTGTTCCTAGGTCTAGATACACATGACCACAGTATGTGCGTATATTTATAAGGTTTAATTAAAATCTAATTTAAGTCAGCGACTACATGAAAATAAAACCTTAAATCTAAACTATAAATACAACACACATAAATTATATAAGCTACCAAAAATACATGTCAATTAAGTCACTACTAATCAAATAATTTAATTAATGTGTTTAATGATTTTATTTGCTTAATTGGTAATTGTGTCTGTTTAAATTTATTGTAATTGTTTTTAATTTAATTAACCAATAATTAAATTAAAAACAATTACAATTAATTTAAACAGACACAATTATCAATTAAGCAAATAAAACCATTAAACACATAGCAAGATAATCATATTTAAATGTACATAAATCAAATAATCAATTAATCAATTAAAATGCACATAAAATAAATAAATAAATTCCAGTTATATCTTTTTGAGAATTAGGGGTATTATAAGTCACCGGACTGAATAAAAAATATTCTTTTGCATAAGGAAGCGACCTGGAACCATGAATTGACCACCCTGAACCATGAATCAACCACTAGGAACCATGAATTGACCCAAAACGGGTCGCCGGTAGCGACGATAGCGATCTGGATTCTCCATGGGCGGGGACTCCCCGTCTTTCTCTTAAGCCTTGGGTCGTTGTTTGTGACTCAAAATTTCCACCGAAGTGACCCACAACGACCAGGAAAAGTGACCGAATTGAACTCAATTGTGTGTTGTGCTCAATTGTGCGTTGTGCTCCACGGTGTAGCCCAAGGTTTGGGTTTGAGACTCCAGATCAGGTTGGTGCGCGATTAGCCTCGACGGGGCTGAAGAAGGATGCGGTTGGTCAGATTCTGGTGGTGGTGTATAATTCCGGAGTCAACATTCCGGCAACATATTGCCCAATTTGCCTTGGAGAATTTGGTGAAGGAGAGAAGGCTAGAGTCCTACCTAAATGCAATCATAGTGACCATGTGTCACACTCATCATATCCAACATGTAGGCAATTGTTCTATGAACAGCCGTGGAGTTCTAATACAGAAATGAGTGTCTGGTTATTGCAAACACAGTAATAAAAAAGAAAGAGGGTATTTTTGTAATTTAAAAAATAATAATTTTCTATTTTTAATTTAACATTAAATGATAAGGTCAAATTTGTCATTTCACAGCCCAGTTAACGGGTCGGATATTAGGGTAATGTGATAACTTTATAATAGGGTTGGGATTTTTGGAAACAGGTTGAAGTTTAATGATCATTTTTTGAAAGTAGTGGGAGTTTTGAGAAATTTGCCCATCTTTTAATTGATTTCAGTTAAATACTAATGGATATCTTTAGAATCGTTTAATTTGAATTTACATATAGTTGTGTTATAGAGTTTTGATGTTAGTAGAATGCTTAAGGGTAGGAGTTGGTTTACGTATTAATATTCTATAAATAATTATAGAGGCATGTTTTGTAAGGGGTCTAGCACTCTAGAATCTTTATTTTAATGTTATTGTTTTCTCAAGCTCTCCCTGTCTAATTCTACTTCCTTCATATAACAATATTACTATATTTGTCTATCTCTTTCTCTCAATCTCCTTTTCTCTATCTCTTAATCTCCTCATTCTCTCTATCTCTTAATCTCCTTCTCTTTATCTCTTTCTCTCTATCTACTTCTATATCTATTTCTCATCCCATTTCTATTCTTACAATTACAACTGTTACTATTTTGTTCACCTTACTAAATTCCTTTTAAATAAGGCAATTTGAACCTACGAAGGAGTTCTACGTTCTCTTTCTCCTACAATTACCTGAAAGTTAATATTCTCAAAAAGACTATAGTTGACAACACACACTCGAACCACACTGTTGGTTCTGGCACGTTCGCATTATACAATTTCTGAATCGACTTTAGGTAGCCGATTTTAGGGTCAACACATTGAAAAGTCATTTCATTCAACAACTTTAAAGATTATTTTTTACAAAGCAAAAGTTAATGAGAACAATTTAATGTTTACTTTTTACTACATAATTTTGTTTTCTAATGGGAAAAGTTAATGGGAAGCAAAAGTTAATGGGAAGAATTTAATCTTACTTTTTACTATATATTTTTGTTTTCTAATTAAAAATACCAATTAAAAAATATTTCAGTACATTAAAAATCTTTCATATACCTTATGTTTTGTAACATAACATGGATAAAGTGATTTAAATTATTTTGGGATTGAAAAAGTTGTGGTATAATTTTGATATATATATAGTGAATAAGAAATTTATTTGCACTAAGCATGTTGATGGTTGAATATAATTGTTATATATATTTAGTTAATAAAAACATAAATACGTATAAAAAATACATTGAAAAGTTGTTTCGTTTAACAACTATAAAGATTATTTTTACAAAACAAAGTTAATGAGAACAATTCAATCTAACTTTTTACTATTTATTTTTTGTTTTCTAATTAAAAATACCAATTAAAAGAAAATATTATTTGTTTCCAGGAAACATGTATAAAGGTTTAAAAGAAGTCCAGAACTAAAAACTCGGCCAAATATATGTTCTATATAATATACTGTATGTTTTTTTGCGAACATAAAAGAGGAGCACTCTATCTACTTGTGCAAGTTGAGACGTGGCATAATACTATCCAAGTGCTTCCTAAACCACAGAAGTAGTAGCCAAATAAGCTGGTTCTAGTCCCCAATGACAAGATTACAATTACACTGTCCCACACATATATTATACTCCTTGCTATGTGTTATATATATATATATATACACAGGGAGATGATCTTTTAAGAAAATAGGGAGAAAAATGAGAGGCCCAAAATCGCTAGCCTCACGTTCTCCTCAGCGTGTAGGGAACGGGTTGCCTTATCCCATATCCACACCACTCTGGCTATAGCTATATCCTCTCAAACGCACACATTGTCTCTCTCTCCCTCTCTCTCTCAACTTCTTCTGGCCTGGCCCCTTCTACTTCCACTTCACCGCCTTTAATAAGCTCAACTAGAGATAGTTGAAGAAGACGACCACCTACATCAGTTCTCTCAGCATTTTCCACTCTGTCCTTACAGTATTTATATATTATTATATACATGCATCAGCCATAAAAAAAAAGAAGAAGAAAAAAAAGAATTAATTCAATCTTTTTCCATACCATCTCAATTTCCACCCCCTCCAATCTATCAGAAGTTAGCATTTGCATTGTTGAATTCGGTTACTCTGCTTAATCAATTTGTAATGGTAAACAAGTTGTCTTAGTTTGGGAATACTATTTATTTAATTTGTATTGATTCTAATAGTGTGAGAGTTTGAATAGAAAGATTGAATATTGGGCAGTCATTGTTTAGTTTGGGACAGAGATTCGTTCGACTGTATGTATAGAATTCGATAAATCCTATTCACAGCATTGTTATTGCCGTCCAAGTTTGGTTTGAAGCTAGTCGCTAGTTTTGTTCAATCCAATAGTACGTTTAGATGCAAAATGGCTCCTAAAACAGGAAAGGCGAAACTTCACAAACCCAAAGGAGACAAGAAGAAAAAGGAAGAGAAAGGTCGGTATTTTCCACGCAACCCGTCAACTTGATCATTTTTTCTTCTATTTTCTGTTTGCTTCTCCGCCAAAATTTTATGTTTTCACTGCTGCCTCATTAATTTCTCTTATTAGACAACTGATCAATGTGTAAATCTTCAACTTTCTTTCTTCCTCCTTAATTTTCACATCTCTAGTTTCTCAGTAACCAAACAGAATTTTACTATTGTAACTTTGTGTATTTTATATATACACTTGATATTCTGATTTTTCTACCCTCTTTGTACAGTTTTGCCTACTGTAGTGGAAATAACGGTAGAAACGCCAGATGAGTCACAAGTGACGCTTAAGGTTAGCATTAGTTTTTGACACGCTCGCTCTATGTATCTGGTGTGCGTGCGTACTTGGCTGTGTGTGAGCGTACGATAAGGGGGTGTTGTGTATGTAACATTTCGTCGCTGTTGTTTTTCGGCTGATTGCAGGGAATATCTACGGACAGGATCTTAGATGTGAGAAAGCTTTTGGCGGTCCATATCGAGACATGTCACTTGACCAACTACTCCTTCTCACACGAGGTACTATATATATATATATATATATATATATAGTGTGCTTTATTGCAATGTACTTTTTATATGCCTAGCTTATGTGCGCTGGTGGCCCATCTTGATTGTCCCCTTCTTTTGGGGTTGTATTTGCCATTTTGACCATTGCAAATTTTATTTTACTATTTCAAGCTACAGAATTATGACCATTTTTTATTATGGCATGTAACTGTACCACGAGGTATTTGGGCAATGGGCACTCTTTTCACTCTCCTTTACCCCCAAATGTTTGTTGGGTGAATGGTTTAAGTTCTAATGAGAGTGTGATTCTTATTATTTAGAAAAAAATAGTGTCCGATTACATTTTATTCCAGCATAAATTTATTCATTCATATTGCATAGTCCATAATCATCATGATTCGATTAATGTTATCTTTAATAGGAGTTGTATGAAAAGAGCAACAATGGGATCTTTATCTTTTGAGGCATTCTTTAAAACAACCGGATCCTCCACATCCAAGCTCCAGTAGATAATGTTTTGTAATACCCTTTTCAGACCTCATTATGAATATATATATATTTTATATGAATCTGTGCAATGTATGGTTTAAATTGACATTACATTTATTGGAAGACGTTCAAGTCCCGTGTCCATTCACAGTGTCTGGCTATAATACAGGTGCACTATTAATTCTCTGGCTGAATTATGGTGATAACCATTAGCGTCCATTCACACTATTTTGGAGGATATATCATCGCATATGAATTGAGTCAACGTCGTATTCACATAATTTTTTATACTATTTATATCTTTTTTATCAAAAATTTTAATTCAGGAATTCTTTTGCTTTTTTAAAATAAAAAGTTGCGGACGGACAAAATAAATATGCCCTTTGCGAAGATAACAATTCTGAACCTCTCCTACTATGCATCGGATGATTCTGCACTTGGAATCATAAATGGTGTCAATCAAGCCCAAAGTTCCCACAATTATAAATTTTAGTTGGATACATTTTAAAAAAAATTGTATTTTATATTTTGCCTTTTACTTTTTTTTTTTTTTACTTCATTTGTGTTAATTATACATATACTGTTTTTTTGGATGAATAATTCTACATATATAATTGATACATCAAAATTACAATAATTATCATATAAAACTTAACTCTATTTTCTTACTTGTGACCGGTGTAACAGGTGCGAGGATCAAAATTGAAAGATTCAGTAGAAATTATCTCTCTCAAACCTTGTCACCTCAGCATTGTGGAAGGTGAGACAATTCAATATTTCAATTATGTTTTCTATTATATAAAGACTTTTTTTCACTAGATCAGCATTATTTTTGTCCTAATCTATGATTTTTATTTTATTTTATTATTTTTATTTTTAAAGTTCTTGGATGTTTGGATAGGATGTAAAGAAAAAACCCACCAGAATTCCATGGAAATAAAAGGAAATTTATCACCCTTCTTTAATGCTGCTGCCAAATAGCACAAATCAGTATCTTAATTGTGAAAGCATTCATGGCATCAACATTTTAAGGGTTGAACTCTTATTATATTTAGAAAGAGTAAGACTCAGGACTTAAGGTTCGTTTGTTTGGATATAAAATATATTTTAAAAATTTTTTAGTGTTTGATTGTGGTAAAATATTTACTTAAGGAAAAATATATTATAATTTTACAAAAATAATTTATTTATCAATTTTTTGCAAGTTATTTTATACGTTCCGTCGGAAGAATACCTTAACCTTGACGTAGACCAAACTCAAAAAGTGTAAATAAAAAAAATATTTTACCTAAATAATAAAAATATTTTCTGAAAAAAATACTTTATATTGAAACAAACGGAACTTGAATAAAAAAAATTCTCAACCAAAAAAAAAAAGAAGAAGAAGAAGAAAAAAGAAAGGAACTTCCTTCCAAGGAAAGTAGAACTTGATCTTTTTTTAATCCATATGTAAAAAATTTGAAATTTCTGAAGATAATATGGTAAATTTATGCAATTATAATAAACTTGGATGTACTGATTTTTTATTTATTTAAAAAAAATTGAAATTACAGAGGACTACAGGGAAGAGCTAGCTGTCGCACACATCAGGCGGCTACTGGACATCGTCGCCTGCACCACCTTCTTTGGCGTTTCATCTTCTTCTCCCAAAGGCACCGGTCGAACGAGCCCCAAAGAACCCGGTCCGAAAGATGGCGAGGCCGGTCCAGACAATGCGGGATGTGAAGCCGCTTCGAAGGCGAGAGGAGGTGAGAAGAAACCGAGTTCGCCCACTGGTGGGGGCCAGAGAGGGAGACATGGCGTCAAGTCGCCGAAGACGGAGGTTTTCGGCAACGATGTTGGCGGCGAGTCGGGGGAGAAAGGTGACGTGGCGGCGGCAATGTGTCCTCCCCCGAGGCTCGGGCAGTTCTATGATTTCTTCTCGTTCTCTCACCTTACGCCACCAATACAATGTAAGTTTTACTACTTAAAATGTGTGCGCTTTTGTAGAGATAGAACTAAAATTCCGTTGTCAAGGAAACTTTGAAAAGTTCGGAAAATAAGGCCATGGTCGCGTTTTCATTGTCATTTGTGAAATTGTGATCACTATTGATTGTGGTTTGTTTCTTATTTGAGGGGTTGGGACTTAATACATCCAAATTCGGTTAAATTGTTTAATTTCAGAGAGTTCTTTTTGGTTGGTTCACTTCACTTGTAATTCACTTGTATTTTGGTTTTGCAGACATTAGGAGATCCACACGTCCATTTCTTGAGGATAAAACCAAAGACGATTTTTTTCAAATTGATGTATGCTTCCCCTTTTTAATCCTTTTTAGTTTCTATATATATATGAAAATATTATGTTTAACCCTCCTATCTTCGAAGTAAATCTTATGTCAATTGGGTTGGGTTGAACGTGTAAATGTATATACAGGTTCGGGTTTGCAGTGGGAAGCCAATGACAATTGTTGTTTCGCGACAAGGGTTCTATCCTGCTGGAAAACATATTCTTTTGAGTCACTGTTTGGTTGGTCTGCTGCAGGAGATCAGCCGGGTCTTTGATTCTGTGAGTAAAATCTGATTTCCCATGTATTTTCATTGAAGTTGTTTTGTTTCGTGCCTCTGTTTCTCTTGCAGCATTTCCACATGTTTGTGCACTTTCCCGCTGCAGTTTATGTATATTTATCATTGTTTGAAGTTGGTTTATGTATGCAGGCTTACAAAGCTCTCATGAAAGCTTTCACTGAGCACAATAAGGTAAGAAAATTTCACAATCTTCCACCCAGATAATGTTCTCAGAGATGAATGCAGTTACATATAATTTAATTTATTTTTTAATTATTTATTATTTATTATTATTTTTATTTTTCAGTTTGGGAACCTCCCTTATGGTTTTCGAGCAAACACATGGGTTGTCCCTCCAGTTGTGGCTAACAACCCATCTCTTTTCCCACCACTTCCTGTAGAAGATGAAAACTGGGGAGGAAATGGGGGTGGACAAGGAAGAGACAGTAAACATGATTACAGGCAGTGGGCAAAAGAGTTCTCAATTCTGGCAGCAATGCCTTGTAAAACAGCAGAAGAGAGGCAAATTCGAGACAGGAAAGCATTTCTACTGCACAGTCTATTTGTCGATGTTTCAGTATTTAAAGCAGTTGCAGCCATTAAACATCTCATTGACACTAATCAATGCCCTCCAAATATTCCCACTGCTTCAATTTTGCATGAGGAATCAGTTGGAGATTTACTTATCAGGGTGACTAGAGATGCGCCTGATGCAAGCACTAAGTTGGACGGTAAAAATGATGGAACTCAGGTTCTTGGGATGTCAAAGGAGGAGCTTGCCAAGAGAAACTTACTTAAAGGCATAACAGTAGACGAGAGTGCAACTGTTCATGTCAGTAAAATATTTATGTATAAATTTTCTTGATTTTAATTCCATTGCTATAGATTCTTTTTCATTATTTTTTGAAGTGGGTATAAAAAATGCTTAGTTTACATCATGCTATTGCAGGATACATCTACTTTAGGTGTTGTGGTCGTTAGACACTGTGGTTATACAGCTGTTGTGAAGGTTGTGGCTGAAGTAAATTGGGAGGGCAATTCCATACCTCAGGACATTGACATTGAGGACCAGCCTGAAGGAGGTGCTAATGCACTGAATGTGAATAGGTGAGGGCGATAAGATTGGATTGACTTGTTATTTGTTATGGACCTAAATTGTGTGCATATATTTTATTTATCTTGTACCACTAAAGGCTGTATTGTGTATGCCTACTGATTGAACAGCTACTTTCTTGGACGGCATGCAATGGTTTTGCTTCATCAAACAACTATAGTTTATTACTTACTTTGCTAATTCCTTTTCAGCTTGAGAATGCTATTGCACAAGCCACCCACGCCTCAATCATCTAGTGCAGTACAAAGAATACAGAGCACAGATTTTGAAGATATGCGTTCTGCTAGGTCTTTGGTAAGGGAAGTCCTGAGGGAAAGTTTGCTGAAGTTGCAGGAAGAAGCCACTACACAAACAAGTTCTATCAGATGGGAGTTGGGAGCATGTTGGGTGCAACATTTGCAAAATCAGGCTTCAGGAAAAACTGATTCTAAGAAAACTGAAGAAGCTAAGGTTGAGCCAGCTGTAAAGGGTCTTGGAAAGCAAGGTGGATTACTAAAGGAGATAAAGAGGAAAACAGATGATAGGAGCAGCAAAGTAGAGCTGGGAAAGGAAGTTACTGTCAGTAACAGTCTTGACATGAACAAGAAATTAGATACCATTAATCAGAAACAATTAGAGAAACAAGATGAGGAAAAGGAAATAATGTGGAGAACGCTGCTTCCTGAAGCAGTATATTTGCGCCTTAAAGAATCAGAAACTGGTCTTCACCTTAAGGTTTGCTACCTGCTTCTGTAACGGGATATATATTTGCTATATTATTCTGCTTTCTTTTCAGAACTATGTAGATTTTGACATTTGAGTCTTGAGTAGTCTCACCTATACAAGGTTATAGAAAATGAACTTCTTTTTGATTGATCCTATGTAGCCTTCTTGAATTTTGATACATATATAGTATGGTCCCATGGCAGTCGCCTGATGAGTTGATCGAGATGGCACACAAATACTATGCTGATACTGCACTTCCAAAACTGGTTAGTTCCTTAATAGTATCAACATTTTCATTTCCCCTGAGGTTTTTTAAGACTATGTTGGATTACTACAACTTCGACTTTTATTAGGTGGCAGATTTTGGGTCCCTTGAACTTTCACCAGTTGATGGAAGGACATTGACAGATTTTATGCATACCAGGGGTTTGCAAATGTGTTCCTTGGGGCGCGTGGTAAATGCTATATATCTTTCCCTTTATTTCATATTCTTCTGCTTCCTTAGTGCTTCTACTGCTGCCACTGCATTATTAAGTCTTCAGTACTTTCCTTTCTTTAGTAGTTTATGCTCCTCAATACTTTAATAAAAGAAAAAGAAAGAAGTGGGAAAAAACTAGATGGAGATGGTAGTCAAGTGCACCAGTTATGAACTGAATGAAGGAGATGGTAGTCGAATGCACTAGTCATGAATTGAATTAATTTCTAATGGAGAAAGGAATGCCATTTGAACGTGATCAACTACATAACAGTAGTACTGTTTTGAGGATGAAATGTTATTTAAAATTATGATGAACTTTATGCGAGTTATTATTTGCGATTCAACATATAGGCATGTGTCATATGAACGCCTCACAATTGCTTTGCTTCTGCTGGAATGGTTAAGATTAAAAATGGGTTTGTTGGTTATAACAGTTGTGGAGATCTTGATAGAAGAAAGAGTCCCTCAAGTGAGTGGAGATGTATGGTTAAAGAGTACAGAGAATATAAGAGCTCAAGTTTGGGGGAAAAATTGTGTTAGTTCTTTATTAAGTTAATATGTTGATACCATGTGCGATGTTGTGTACTTTTGAAATGGACCAATAAACACTAAGCTTCTAGGTGGACTAAATCTGCCTAATTAAAATCTGAGGTGCACAATGCACTATTAAGCCATTTAAATTAATGACAAATTGTGTCAGAGAAGGCACTTGGCAGGAACTCACTGTACTGGCTTGCAGGTACCTGAAATCACAAACCACTCAAGATTTCAGGTTTCATCCTTTTTGAGCTCTATAGCTAGATTGAGTTCATCCTCTACCTAAATAAGTTTTCTTATTATAATAAATTTGCTTTTCAATGTGATTTTTTCCCCTCTCATTTTCTGGTTACTTGTACATCTGAATTAAATTATCAATAACACTACTTCTACTTATATATGGCTGGATGGCTTGTGATTTTGAAGCTTATTTTATCTTGCTTTCCTCTGTACATGTCAGGTAGAACTTTCAGACAAGCTCCCTCATGTGCAATCACTCTGTATACATGAGATGGTAGTTCGAGCCTACAAACATGTATTGCAAGCTGTTGTAGCAGCAGTTGATAATGTTGCTGAATTGGCCGGGGCTGTGGCATCATGTTTAAATATATTGCTAGGAACACTGTCTACAGAAAACGCTGATGCAGACGTTACTAATGATGATACATTGAAATGGAAGTGGGTGGAAACTTTCCTTCTGAAGAGGTTTGGGTGGCGATGGAAATCCGAAAGCTTCCAGGATCTAAGAAAATTTGCTGTTCTCCGCGGGCTTTGCCACAAGGTATAATGATTTGCTCTTGGTTTAATTGGAGGTCTTACCTCACACCTATTCTTCATTTTGCCAGTATTTTAAAAGGAATCATCTTTCGCTAGGTTGGACTAGAGCTTGTTCCCAGAGACTATGATATGGACTCTGCATATCCTTTCAAGAAGTCAGATATTGTAAGCATGGTCCCTGTATATAAGGTAAAATACACAGACAATTCATGTCAGGAAATGTGCGTTGAAAGTTTATCAGGATTTCTTTATAGCCTTGACGTATTCAATTTTTCATACAGCATGTTGCATGTTCATCTGCTGATGGGCGTACATTGCTGGAATCATCGAAGACTTCCCTGGATAAAGGCAAATTGGAGGATGCTGTTAATTATGGCACTAAGGTAGAAAGTAGTATCTTCTCTTTTGAAGTTATTTGATGGTTTTCTAATGAATCCAATAATTATTTGGACCCATATTCCCTATTGAATTTTGAAGGCACTCTCAAAACTAGTGTCAGTCTGTGGCCCTTATCATCGAATGACAGCGGGGGCATATAGTCTTTTGGCTGTAGTACTCTACCACACGGGGGATTTTAATCAGGTATGTGCTTTATAATACCTGGATACTCCTTTTCATATATCACGGGACTGGTGCTATGCTTCTATGTGGTGCCGGTTTTGTCTAAAAAAATCAAGTACTTTCCATTGATAATTGTCATATTTTTGACTTCCTAATTCATGCTATGTGCATCCAAATGGTGATGGGCTGACCACAGTGCAGCCAAAGCAGTCTTGAAGGTGAACAAGTGTATATAAAGATTGGAAGGTGTCTGGTTAGTTTTATAAGCATAGTCAAATGATTGTTGACAGTCATTGACATTTAGAAGATCATATAAGTTAAAAAATAAAAATAATTATAAAAATATGAGGGTTCAGAACTTCTAAAAGATATTGTAGCACATAGTTTGTTTTCTTCTTTTGCCTTACTAAAATTTCTTGTTAGTTGTTGGAAAAATTGATTCTTTGACTAATGCCGTTGCCTATCCCACCATGCCTGGCTTGATCCATCTCCCCAGTTTGTGACCTAGTTCACACCTAGAGCAGCAACACAAGGAATTTAGGGCTGGAATATAAGAACAACCATATAATTTAATTATATATTAGAGGAATAAAATATTTTTTTTGTAGATGAGAGGAATAGAATATGTATTTTTTTGACTTGTTTTTTCATGCCACACTTATAAGCATGGGATGTGAGTAAACATGAGTTTGTTTACTGATTGCATATTGCAAATACATGAACACTCAGAAATGCAAAGAATTCCTTATGCACCTCCATGGCCACTTCTTCTGTCTATTGTATTATATTGTGCTAATATGCATTTACATGTATGATATGAATTAGACTAATTTGCAATGCTTATAATTTGTGTTTGATATTTTGTGGAAGACAAATAAATCAGAAGTGCACAAATTGGACAAAGACATTAGAGGCTAAAGCATTTAAAGTCAGAAGCCTAAATCTTTAATTAACAATTATGAGTTAACGTTAAGGTGTTTTTTTATTTTTATTTTTTATTTAAAAAATCGAGCATTCTCATTCTAAATCAACTTCATTTTTACTCAATTTCAAGTGTCATCTTAAAAATAAATATATAAGACATCTGTGACCAGATGATTGCTGTTTTACATGTGATTTAGCATGATCACACTGTTGTTAATTACTTGATCAGGCTACTATATATCAGCAAAAAGCATTGGATATCAATGAGAGAGAGCTCGGACTTGATCATCCTGATACAATGAAAAGTTATGGGGATCTAGCTGTTTTCTACTATCGACTCCAACACACTGAGTTGGCCTTGAAGTATGTTATCTAGTATTCTGAATTGAAAAATGTTCTCCGCAGCTTTTGCATGGTAGTTGTTTTCCTTTTGGTTTGGCATTGCTTTCTATAATAAAAAGGGCTAGCACATTGCATTGCTTTCTTTCATGCAGATATTTATATTTGTGTGATGCGGTTAAAGCTTATCCATGTTTTATTTATTTTTTGGCGTAAATTATACTTGCTTCATTTATCTTCTTTTTTTTTTTTTTTTTCTTCTGGTGAGTCTTTGCTTCATATATCTCTCAAACAATACATTTAGGAATATGAACCTGACATTAGATTCACTCTGAGTCTCCATCAATTCTTATAAGTTACTATTAGGTCTCAGTGGGAAGCAAAGGAATTTTATAAGTGCCGATTACAACGGAGGTAGTATACAAATTTGGAACCGTGTGCGGAGGTGGTATAAAAATTTGGTATTCACTGAAATTCTATTCGTTCAACAGCAATGCGGGATTCAAAGATGTTTTACAGTGAATTATGAAATTGATCTATTTGTTCAAACAAGTTTGTCTGTAAGTTAATTATCGAAAAAAAACTGTCTGTCAGAAAAATAATATCATAACCACTTGAAAGAATAACTGATTCAAATAACTATTTATTAAGAGCCCGTTTGGTATTGTTTTTCAACCGCTTAAAACCGCTTTTATTTTAAGAAATTGCGTTTAGATGTGTTTGTTACCAATTTTAGCTTAGTAGAGCTTTTGAATGTAGCTAAAATTTCTAGCTTTTAAAACTGCATTCTGGGTAGAGTATCTATATTTTAGGTAACTGTTTTTCCTTGGACAATTTTATTCTTTTTTAGTTTTTTTAAAGACAATTGTGCGGCTTCTTTTAGAAAGTTGTTATTATCACATATAATAAACATTCTATTTAAGGACATTATTGTAAAATTAGCGATAGAAGTGCTTTAAAAATTATTGTTACCAAACAGATTAAAAAGTAATTTAATTGTGAAGAGTACTTTATATAATGTATCACCAAACACCTAACATACTTTTTACTAATCGTAATATTTTGGCAGCTCTACAGACGAGCACTTTTAACATTCTAACAACAACGCCAAACGGGCCCTAATAAACTGTTTCTTGCCTTTTCCATTTAGTATCACTAAAATGATTTCAAGTTTTCTGTTCTGCATGAACTCTCAATTTGTGAGGCTTTAAAATTATAGTTGGGTTATTACTAGATAACAGAAGTCCAGCCGACGGAAAATAATGCTAGAAGAATCTTAGAATAATGCTGCCTATTGTATGGTTGGGCAGAGGTTATTAGAAGTTTGTTGGTTTAGTGATTTCGAAGGTAGAGAAAGTTGTAGGCGATGTGGATCGCAAAGGATTGAAATTTTCTTGGTTTTGAGGTTTATCATTGCTGGATTCCTAGAAAATTAGTGGTTAGGATTTTGGATTAGATATTTTAGGGTTCTGTGTGCTGGATAGAAGCTAAAAGGTTATCTGAAAGGTTAGTATTATAGAATTTGATTTTTGGGATGAAAAACCAAAAGATAAAGAGCTGTTTGTAACAAGAAATGTGAATTGAATTGTAGAGAAAACAGAAGGAGAAGTGAATCTTCTAGAATCTCACCTCATAGGGTTAAGGTTACGTCACATAATTACTCAAACCTTTAAAAAAATTCTCAAATTATTAGTATTCAACTCTATTGCATTGATACATGTACACTGTTACATTTCTCCTACTTCTATCAGACATGCATTGTAAAATGAAAATTCTGGAAGTTTGGCAGATGGGACCATTCTAACTTGATTGCATTACCGAAAACAAAAACCTGTACAGTCCATGTCCTTTATTTCTTGAATTTACCCAAACACCCCTTTTGTCGTATTCATATTGAAAGGATAATATAGATATTGTTTATTTTGTAATAAAAAGAAGTAATGTCCTAAAATATAAGAAAACATAAATAAAACTATTTATGCAGCATGTCAACTTAAAATTAATATGAAATAATACCTAACCAGCTAGAAATTTGATCACACAATTTCCTAAGCGCCCCCTTGTGAAAATGTCAGTTTGCCTCCTCTCATGTTAGCAGGCTCTTCACGACCAGTTTAACTAAAAGTTATTTTGACCACGAAAGTTTTAACTAAGAATATCAACTTTAATAACAGAGTGCTCTGTTAGGCCGATCAATTGCTGAGTAATTTCTCAGTTTGGCATACCGCATGGTAATTGGTAAAGCATTATACTTTTGAGTAGGTTTTTAAGTTTGAGAAGTTTCTGCCAATTGCCTATCTGGGGCAAAGATGAAAAACAAGAAAAGGGATCTGTTCATCCAAGCAACTAGCTTTAACAGCATTTTTGGTATTGAAATGTGACAATTTCTCAATTGTAGAGTTTGGTTTATTCAAATATCCTTTGGTAGTGAAAAAGGGGAGCCATAGTTCAAGCTGAAATATTTCTAAGTCAAGTGATGGTCTGGCTCTAGGCAAGAAATGGTTTAACTTGTGATTGCAGATGGATGGCCTTAAGAAATGCTGAACTCCACCCCCCCGCGCCCCAAAAGAGAACCCAATATAATTGGGGTACTTTCATAGCCTTATTTCTTGATGGATTGGCTTTTCATCTTTACCCATCTAGGTGAATAAAAGCAGTCATATTCTCAAAAGAGTTATTCAGTGTGGAGTATAGGAAGGTGCCATGACAACTTCCTAAAAACAGAAGCTTCTCTTGAGCAAACAGTACTGGTAAAAGAAAGCAACTAATGGTTTTTTATTCTTGAAAATTTAGCATTTTTGCACTAAAAGCCCAGAAGATGTTTGACATATTTGACTCAATAGGCATCAAGGTGAAGTCCTTATATCAAAGATGTATAGCTTACACTTGTTTCTTTCTATCCCAGGTATGTAAATCGTGCATTGTATCTATTGCACCTAACATGTGGACCATCTCATCCAAATACTGCTGCCACCTATATTAACGTAGCAATGATGGAAGAAGGTTTGGGGAACGTCCATGTTGCCCTTAGATATCTTCATGAGGCTCTCAAGTGTAATCAAAGACTACTTGGTGCTGATCATATACAAGTAATCTCTCTCTCTCCCCCTCCCCCCGTCTCTCTCGTGTATTGCAAGCAAGGCTATATCTAATAAGGATTAATGTTACAAATAAAGGTAATTTTGATGCGTATGGTTGCAACCTTATATAATACATACAAGATGGAATATAACATACGGCTTGTGTTATTAATCAAGGAAGTAAATTTTGTAGCTGTTGCTATTAACAATAAAATGGGCTGCAAAAATGAAAATGTTTAAACTCCAAAAAGGATAAAGCAAAAATGAGATGTTTATCTTTTCTGTTTTGAACTTGATCTTGAATTTCCTGATTAAATTGAAATAGTTCCTGGTTCTGACTAGACTGAAGCAGAACATTGATTAAATGATATGCTTTGTCAATTTATAATTCATGGAAATTGAATTACTTCCTTGTTTTTAAATGTACATCGTAGTTTTGATCAGAAACCATTCATCATATGAGTGTAAATACTAACTAATCTAACTAATTTTGATGTACATAAATTGCTTTCATCGTGTTGAATGACAGTCTATACAAAGAGACCAAAAGCAAGTTTGTTGTATGGGGGCAAATTACATAGGTTTGAATGGTTCCCAGACTCTCGAAATCTGCTCTCCCTTTGTTAAATATGAAATTATATTAAAATACCACGATAAGAATTTCAATTAGGCCTCGGTGCCAAATCCAAACATGATCAAACAAGTTGAGTTTAAAGATTCAAATCAGATATTGCTAGCTCTATATTTTAACTCTTAAATGTCTTTCCAATTGGCCAATATCACCCACTGATCAATAGAGAATATTACCACTTGCATGTCTCTTGGAATATGAAATCTCACCAAATGCTTGTGTAAAATTGTTGGAGCAGTATATTTTAGCCTGCATATGGTCATGTTTAACCTGTATATCTGGTTTCTTCAGACTGCTGCCAGCTATCATGCTATAGCAATCGCTCTCTCTTTGATGGAAGCATACTCCTTGAGTGTTCAGCATGAACAAACCACTCTACAGATACTGCAGGCCAAGCTTGGATCAGATGATCTACGTACACAGGTAAGATAAAGTTCCACCTTTAGTAATTGAGCCTCACATTTGGCCCTTATCCCTCAACTTTATATGTATACTTTTGCAGGATGCCGCTGCATGGCTTGAGTACTTTGAGTCCAAGGCTCTGGAACAGCAGGAAGCTGCACGCAATGGTGCTCCAAAACCAGATGCCTCTATCTCCAGTAAAGGTCACTTAAGGTAATTTATTTGTTGTGTTATTTGTGTGTTCTTTTCCCTTTTTACTGGTAAAAAATAATGCTTACTTTGCATATGCTTGCACTTAATCCAAAAGTCCTGTGTAGATAGCTTGTAGTCAAACTATTATTTGATGGATTCCTGAATTCTTGAGTAAGTGAATATAGTTACTAGTTAGATAGTTTGTTCTTTCACCAGTACAGTTATCAGTACATGGTTTCTCTATGACGGGCATGCTGATACAAAATCAATCTTAATACATGATTGTGATGTCAAATTTCTTGTTAGTGGGTTTCTTTTTGTTGTTATGTTTATGCTTTTAATATCAGAATTTTTTATTTTGTTCCCTAAATTCTGGATTATATGGTGTAGATTACTAAGTTATATCTACAAGAACCTTTATAAAAACCAAATTAAATAGACTTTCCTTTGAAGTGGTTTTGATACATTTGCCCCTCATTTTGGTCAGCAGTTACCATACCACTAACATTGGATATTTAAAAAAATATATAGCATATTATCTTGAGTTCATTTGAATTGCATGTCATATATAAATTATAATACTTTCTTTTCCTTCCTGGACCAGTGTTTCAGATCTATTGGATTACATAACACCAGATGCAGATATGAAAACCAGAGACGCCCAAAAGAAGCAAGCTCGTGCAAAGGTCACAAAATCATGACTGTTCCCAGTTTTATTCTCTCATCTCACTTTATTTTATTACTAAAATATCCTGATTAAAGTTCCTCCCTAATCATATAGGTTAAAGGCAAACCAGGACAAAGCTGGGAAATGGTCACAGACGAATTCCAGAAGGATGAAATACTATCACCAAGCCACCCTATTACAGAAAACTCTAGTGACAAAGAGAACAAATCTGAACTGGAGAACAAAACTGGATCACAGTTTGCAGAATCAATGGAAAAGAAACCTGATTTGCTTCTAGCAGATGCGATGGTATTGAACCAAAATGATGATCTGGCACGAGATGATACCTCCAATGAAGGATGGCAAGAAGCTTTCCCCAAAGGTCGCTCACCTACAGGTCGTAAGACTTCTAGTTCGAGGAGGCCAAGCCTCGCAAAACTGAATACCAACTTTATGAATATCTCCCAATCATCAAGGTCTCGAGGTAAGCCCAGTAATTTCACATCCCCAAGAACAATTTCAAATGAGTCTGCTTCTTCAACTGGGTCTGCTCCTGTTCCAAAAAAGTTTATTAAGAGTACAAGCTTCAGTCAAAAATTAAATAACCCTACCAGCCCAGCGATTGGGACAGAGAAATCTGCCAACCCAAAGTCAGCCCCAGCTAGCCCCGCTTCAACTGATCAAGGTGCCAAGTCTACTCCAATTATAAGTTCAGTAAGCGTTCAGGGAGCTGGAAAACTTTTTTCCTACAAAGAAGTTGCTTTGGCTCCACCTGGTACCATTGTGAAGGCAGTAGCGGAACAGTTGCCAAAGGAAAACCCTCCCAATGACCAAAGTCCTCAGGTTACTAAGGTGAAGGTAGTTGCAGAAGCAACTCAAGTTGACCAGATGACAGCAGTGAAGGATGCGGAACAAGAAAAACTTCATAAATCAATTGAAAAAAAACAATTTCCGGTTTCTGATGAGGAAATGAAAAATACTGTCAATGAGAAACAAGTTACAGAAGTGGTGGGGTCTGTTTTGACGGAATCCTCAGAGGGAGTGCTGAGTGCAGCTGCTGAAGATAGAGAAGTGGAAGCTGAGACAGTTGCAGAAGTAAATAGTGTTGCTGTTGAAGGCACAGAAGCAAACTCTGGAGCTGTAGTTGATTTGGGAGTTGCAGAAATTGATTCTTCCAAGGATTTGAAGTCTATTGCTTCTAAAAGTGCAGTTCTGGAAACAGAAGTTGACAAATGCCCAGCAGCTTCCTCTGATTTGGAACCTCTTGCTGTTCCAATGGAAAATACAACTCTCTTGCTGGAAAAAGATGCCTCCATTTTGGAAGAGAAAAAAGCAAAGGAAGATGAAAGTTCACATGATGTTCCTAGTAGTAATGGAATTGCAAGTCCTTCGCTGACTGAAGCTGAAAAACAAGGTAGTGGAAGTGCTAGTCCTTTGTCAACGGAAGCAGAAAAGCAAGGTGATGCAGAAACTGGAAGTGAAAACACCAAGAAACTTTCTGCAGCTGCACCTCCCTTCAATCCATCCATAATTCCAGTTTTTGGTTCTGTTCCATTGTCTGGAATTAAGGAGCATGGAGGAATATTACCACCACCCGTTAATATTCTGCCAATGCTTACAGTAAACCCTGTTCGTAGGTCTCCTCATCATTCAGCTACAGCAAGGATTCCATATGGTCCACGGCTGTCAGGTGGTTACAGATCTGGAAATCGCGTTCCTCGTAACAAGCCTGCTTTCCACAATGGTGAACATATTGGGGATGGGAATCAGTTCAGCAATCCAAGAATAATGAATCCACATGCAGCTGAATTTGTACCTGGCCAACCTTGGGTTCCTAATGGCTATCCGGTGTCTCCAAATGGTTATATGGCTTCCCTGAATGGTCCTCCTGTGATCCCAAATGGTCATCCATTGACCTCAAATGGTATTCCAGTGTCACCGAATGGTTTTCAACAATCCTCTAATGCTAATCCAGCATCTCAAAATGGGTTTCCACTCTCTCCAATCAGTTCAGAAGAATCCCCTACAAGTATAACTGTTGAAGTTGGTCCTGAAGGTCAATGTGAAATTGTGGTGGAGGAGAGTGCAGAGAAATCCCCAACCAATGTGGGAAAAGTAAATGAACCAATTGAGCAAAAAACAATAAAAGATCAAACTGGAGGAAATGAAAAACCTCATTCTGATACTAAAGAAAAGTCTCATTCTGATACCGAAGAGAAACCTACGGACGCAGTTGCAACATCTATTGATATTGTTGTGGCTAGTGAAAACTGCAACAGCAAAGCAGTTGAGGAAAAGCCAACCAAGTGTTGGGGAGATTACAGTGACAGTGAAGCTGAAATTGTTGAGGAATGAGTATACATTTTGAAGGAAGATTTTTGTGTTTCTTGAGGTAAACAAGATTTGTATTATATCCCTGTGGACTAACCGAGAAAGACAAGGAAGTTGCAAGCTTAACTTGTGAGAAATAGTTAACGAGGGGTGGATTCCTTTCACTGCAAAGTTTATCATAGTGACCGTAGGGAATCCTGGCTAATATAGTTTGAATTTGATGCAGCAAGGGATGTAAAATATTAACATAGAGAGTCTTGAGGATAATAGGCTGGTATAAGAAAGAAATCTACATAACAGTAGAAGATGCTGCTGAGTAGTTCGTTAGTAAATTAGACCCTCTCTGCTTGAGTTTTGTTGGTTTTACTTTTCAGGCATTACCTCTTGGATGATGCTTGTGAATGGAAATAGGAAGGTCTGGAGGTCTGCTACTACCCGACTTTCATTTTTTTTTTCTTCTTGTTTGTAACCAAATAATGTTGACGTAATAATATCCAGATTTTACATTTTTGTCAATTTTGATAATCTAATAAATAGGCTATTACGAGTAAGCCTGATAAATTCGTTAAAGAGTGCAACCAATTAGATGGTCTTTGAATTCATATTGCTCCTGTCCTGGTTGTGTTATACTAGTAGATAAGGTGCATCATCTTGTACTTCAGTCAGAATCAAATCCTTTGGGAATGGAATTTGAAAAAGGAGAAGAAAGGTCTTGATTCGAATTGTAATATTGTTACCCTATTTGGGGAAAAAAAAAAAAAAAAAAAAAATTTAAAGAAAAATGAATCACTATTCTGTATTTGGATATAGATAGGAATATAAAAGCATCAAATAAGTCATGACTTTCTTCTCCTTGTTGAGATAAACAAATAAGGCATTAGGCTATTAAAAAAAAAAATGCCCAACTTTATTTAGTTATTTTGAAAAAACAGTATTTTGTAATTCTTGTTGTTCAACTTGTTCTCTGAATGACTTGTAGCATTCTTTTCTGGTAACACTAATAATATGCGTCATAAGATCAACAGTAAATGCTTCTAATACTCGTTAAAATTCAGGAAAGTAATAAAACCTCAAACTCCCTAATGGGCACTTAATCACCACATCATCCTATATTTCAACTCCAAGCAGACACTGTCTGTTCAAACAAGAATTAATAGTATACTGAGTGAATGTATGTTTCTACAATAGTGATAAAATGCCATAAATACAACAAAATGAACTACTCTTTCCATAAAAATTGCAGGACAATTTCCTTCATAAGTTCGTACAAGCCAACAAAAGTAGACACAATATATGGATTCTGCTAAGAAGTACTCTCACCATTGTCATGTCCAGCTAAGAGTACCATCACAGGTTGGTCTACCCCGAAGCCAGTCCATAACAACTAGGGTGGCAGCACAATGGGCAAGTGCTCCTGCAACGACAAACACGTGGAAAATCTGATGGCTGTGCCCTGCAATGTCAAAGGCACCTGGCTTCCATCTTTCTGGCACTCTACTTATATAAAACCCAGCTCCTACAGCATATAAAATGGCCATAGCAAGCTCATAGCAAAGGGCAACAAGTATATGTGAATGGTCCCAAAATAGGACTAGGGCATGCACTGCTGGAATCACTCCTGAGAAACCCATGCTGAGAAAAAGAGAGGCCCTGAAGGTTCGGAAACGAGGAGTGGAGAGAGCAGGCGCAAGGAGGGTTGCTATGGCAAGGATACCAAACAATGAAATAGAGGTAAGATAAAAGAGCCGCGAATATGGGTGGCAGGAAAAAGCATAGTAGATGGGTGCAAAGAAGGAGCAGACTATCATAAGGGTGATGCCGGCATAATCTAGGCGCCAGAAGAAGAAATTAAAGCGTCGGGAATGGCTGGCAAGTAGGTGGGAGAGGGAGCTGCAAACCAAACAGCCCATTGCCCCAGCTAAGAATACAAACCAAGGCCACCTAGGAATTACATCATGTGCATTTCCATGTAAAACTGAAGGCTGAGGAATGTGTGGTAGATGTGAATCCTGCAAACAAACATCAAAACGAGTTCTAATATAATTCAAAATTTACTACTCAAACTTGTATATACTAATTAAATTCAAAAAGTCTCCATATACACAAGCTCTTCTTTATTAATTTAAAAACAGGGAGAGATGTCCCAAGGGTGCAACTAATGAGGAATGATCATTATTAGGTTATTAACACCTTTCCTAAGCTTCTGGTAGCTGGGGTAATGTTTCCAACAAGTGGGTAGCTTTGGTTTGGGAGATTTCGTGACCATGCCTCCCTTAAACCGCCATAATTCTTTGTGTAAGTTGAATTTTTGGGTGAAACCAATTCCATTGGAAAGTTTGACTTCAAAACCTTCAATTTGAACACAAATTTGACCTAATTTGGATTTGAAATGAGTGAGTTATGGCCGTTTGAAGTTAGTAAGTCCAAACAAGAAACTCACTGGCCTATGAGGCAGCTCGTAGATGAATTAACCAGATAAATGAATTAATCAATGTGTTAATACTCCAAAGCAACATAAGAAACCTTAATTTTTTTTTTCTTTTTTTCCCAGGTAGGTAAGTAGCACAAGTACATACTACAATGCTCCATGTGAGACTTGAACCACTCACGTCCCCTTTTATAACCTTATAATTGTCAGCTTCTACATTTTAATGTCTAACTAATGACACCAAGCTGAAAATGTCAAATATCTTTCTAGAGAGAGTTACACACGTAAAGCTCAACCTACAAGCCTATGCTTCCTACTCCTTTGCTATCCCAATGTAATTCACAACAATTCCACACCTTAAATTTTGGCGTCTAGGGTATAGCATTTGCTATTTTCTACTGCACGGCTTACCTATCCTTACAGCTTTTCAATTGAGAGTTATTGTGATCAAAATGGTTAAGAGGTTAGCACCTGTTGAAGTTGTTCAGTAGACATTTTCAGACATATATTTTCATCTTTCAACCATCACAGTTTTGATATGAAAGTCCCTTGAAGGATTGCTTAATTTGAAATTCTTGTTTGGTCACCAAACTTCATTCTAAGGTCATCTATTCCTTACAAGGCAGAAATTTCATGGCAGATAAACTACTTTCACAAATCACTAGTGTAGGGCAACCAATTCTATTTTCCTTCTTAATTATAATAATAAAAACAATAAAATAGATTGATGAATTTAATCAAACCAACTAATTTCACCAAAATGGTTGGAAGATGAAACACACCAAACATTCTACATAGTAGAGATCATAACTACCGGTCAGAAAACTCTTCATCTACTTGAATTGCATTAATTATATGCTTATAATTTTCAATACAATTGCTGATAGTTCCTATAAAAGGAGCAAATACACCGTTTTTTTTTTCAAACATGATTACAAGTTCAAAGTTTGTACCGACTAAATAATCTGACAAGTGAAGGACGAAGAGATATATTTACGTCGTCAAGTCCTCCATTCACGTTGGTTAATACTTTTAAGTATTTCACCTTGAAAATGTAATTTATAGAAGTAATATTTTTAATTTTTGATAACACGTGGGCACCCATTTGTCATCTTCTTCACTCAAACAATCAATCTGGCGTTTGGTTAGGAAAAAACAGGTACTCGTATCACTTAAGACATGAGCTAAGCCGTTCTGGGAATAATAGCTTCAACTCTGACGTTAAAAATTTAAAATTCAAATTTGTTGGGAGGTTAATTAAATGGGCGGTTTTGAAATTACTTTTAATTGATTTCATTTCATTCAAAGACGCGGGTTAAAAAACAACAAAGGATTCAAAGACGTGTGTGGGACTTCGGACATTTTCAAAGTTGTCCAACTTAATTGATTTCATTTAATTAATTGGTACAGCTGGGGGGTCATGAAAGTACTAAGTCACGTGACCAATATGGGCAATGATAAAGGAAACGAGCTGTCAGCTAAAGCATTTGTACTGGTGATGAATGATTAGTAATGGGCTAGGAAAGTGGGACCTACACTCGCTGCCTGATAATGTGGGTGTCTTATCATTGCCCTTTATTCTCTCTCATAAAACGACGTTTTTAGAGTGACAGAGAGAAAGAGAAACACTCACCGGAAAGAATGCGTCTGAGCTGTTGGAGTCCTTCGTCGTCATCGTCATCGTCATCGTCATCAACGCTCTTGGAACGCCAGGTCTAGTGCGGTCCCACATCAAACATTCTTATTTAATAAAAAATTAGCTCTAAAAAAAATAGACTTCATATAAATTATCAAAAATTTGAAAATTATTTCAATTCTAATCACACAGCACAAGAGAGCTCTTTTAACTACCCACTCCTTTGGGATGAGTTTTTCCGGTCAACGAACCTGAAGAAACTGAAGATTAAACCATCGATTGTCGCCAACTCCGTTGAGCTAATCACCGTCAACGCCAAAAATATCAAGAAGCCTCCCAAATGCCTACAAAAAGTTAAAATTTTAAAAAATGAACCTCAAATTGAGATGGAAATTCAGACGAGTCTGTTAAATAATGATAGATAGATTGATTGATGACTCACGTCCAAATGTTTAGGGTTTCGTTGTGCCAAGCGAAGACGCTACTCAAACTATCCTTCAACGGCCATTCACACCTGTAATAGTCCAATATGAACTCGTTATCTTTCAAGTACTCCGGCAACTCCTCGTACTTCACCAATCGCCTCTCAAATCTCCCCTCCTTCTGCTTCTTCACCACCGTCCGATCCAAGTCAACTCGGTCCCTTCTATCTTCTCCATTACCGAGTTTCGCGCTCTTGGCGCCTCTCCGTTCCATTTCAGCTGGAAGATCCGTCTCTCTCTTCCGGTTCCGGCCACTCTACTCCGACCTCTCTTTGTCTCTCCGGCTATGTGTGTGTGTGTGTATATATATATGGAACTCTTATAAAGTGGGGTGGTTCAATTTGGATGAGAAGTATATTTATAATCAGCGAACAGAGCATGATCAAATTTGAAAAAGCTACACATCAAGATAACGTGAATTTGTATACAAGGCTGAAGGCTGTGCTCATACGGTTAGTATTCCTGAATCACGCACGTGGAAACATATGCTTTACTTGATTACGGAAAGTCATTAAAGGATTGCCATATAATTTCAGTTTTTTTTTTTTATAAATAAATTGTACTAGTGTATACAATTTTTATTGGTTTGATCTTCATTCAAGTTTGGCGGAAGGTTATAATCGTAATTTAGGTGATGAATTTAGTGGGAAAATGCGTATGAAAATGTAGTTAGGTTGACTAAAAGTGAGCTCAATTAAATTAAAGAATCTTCCTAATGGGCCCAGAATGTTAGACTGGGACAGGATTCCACATTTAACTACAGGCCAGTCCATCAGCTTATCGGGCAAGGTTAAGGGCTGGGCCTAGTGTTAAGGACACATTAATGTTGACTAAAGTTAGTGGAGACATAAATGGACAAGGGGTGTGAAATAAAAATTTTCTTACAATTCCTTCATTTCGAGTAGAGAGGTTTTTCCTAATCTAATTTTAGTCTAATTTAGGTATATAGTTGAGGAGGTCCAGGACGACATGGGCCGGATCTGACTTGGATCTGACTTGCAAGTACGACATCCGGTCCGTACAGCTGGGTCGGCCTATAAAAAGACACTGCCATATGGGCCGAACGCGAATAAGCCCATCAAAGGTGACCAGGACTTATGGAGGAACAGGCCCAGATCCAGCAATCCGTCAATATTTGTAAATATCTTGTAAATATCTATAAATAAGGGAAGGAATGAAAAGAAGAGGAGGATCTTTTGGTTGAAGTGTAAGAATTCTAGAGAGAGAAAGTGGGTATGAATTTCTTGCATCTTCAATTGGCGCCGTCTGTGGGAATCGCATGGAAGTTTGGTTGATCAATGAGGAATATCGAGTGGATTCAGACCAATTTGGTTGATCGAGACTCGATCTTTGGGATTTGGATCCAGATCTGAGCGATTGTGACCTACTCTGGAGGAATTACAATTCTTGAAGCTTTGGCAGAAGTGGCTTCAGATCTACGCAACAACGAGTTGTTCGATTGTGGCGGGATCTGACGGATTTAGAGTTCAGACAATTCAGATCTCGTAAATGGTGAGCATAATTCGGAGAATTCGAAACCAGATCTAAAAAATTCCCACTCACGAAGCTCGGATCTACTCGCGAACTTGAGATTAATGCCTTTACTCCGTTCAGGAATAATGATAGGTGAAAGCTCCAATCCGATGGAGGCTGTCCAGCAAACAAAGCTTGAGGAGTTGATGAACTTGATTGAAGCTCTCAAAAAAGAGAATGCAGAATTGAAAGCTGGAATGCAACATCGGCAAATACCTGCGGTTTCGCATCCACTTCCGGTCGGTGAAGGAGGTGTTCAATCTAATATCGCGCGTCAAGGCGAACAGGACGAGAACAATCAGTCAGCTCACCACCGTGATGAAAGGATGATGGACAATTTGCCGCCAAATGTTCGTCGAGTTGAGGATCACGAAGGATCGACTCACGTTGATCCGCGACATGAGCAGATTAGACGGAATGAAGCCATAACCTTCGATCCGCATCGGGAAAGGTTCGACCGAGAGGAAGTGATAGAGGTTGATCGCCGTCGAGTAGCGTCGCCTTGGCAAAGAGAGTTCATAGAGGAACGGTCGTTCGATCCGTCTTACCGGCCCTCCATGGCTACTATCACTCATCGCGGTTCGGAGGGCAGAACCGTAACTCACAGAGCTACCGCTGGACTCCAGAGAGAGAATGAAGCTCTCCGATCCGCAGCTCGGACGGTTGATTCACCATTCACCGACGAGATCTTGAATGCCCCGCATCCAAGGAAGTTTGCTATGCCAGTCTTTATTCTGTTTGACGGAACAACCGATCCGATCGATCATGTGTACCATATCCAGTTGAAAATGGCCCTGAATACGGAAAACGACTCTTTAATGTGCAAATGTTTCCCTACAAGCCTAGCCGGACCGGCGCTCAGCTGGTTCAAAAACTTGCCTAGGAGCTCCATTGGTAGCTTCAGAAACCTGTGCGATCGGTTCATAAGCCAGTACTATGGGAACAAGCGCCCGTCGAAGGACATCTCGAGCCTATTCACGATGAGGCAGCACAAAGATGAACGTCTCCAGGCTTTTCTTACCGGGTTTAATCTCACTAAGAGTATGGTGATCGAATGCCACCCTTCTACAGCAGTTCAAGCCTTCAAGTTAGCCATGACACGTGGAACTCCGTTTCACACCAGTCTGGTAGTGAACACGCCGACTACTATGGATGAACTCAATGAAAGAGCCGATGGCTTTGTGCGCCTAGAAGAAGAGGAGGCAGCTAATGCTCGGACAACGTCGCTCGTGTCGACCGAGGAAAAGTCCAAGGCAAAGATCAGGCAGAAGCAGGCTCAGCCGCAACGTCAGACCTCTTGGAAGGCAGAAAAAAGGTCCAGGGAGGAAGAGCTGATTACTCCGCTGAAGGTCATTCTGGCGAGGCTGTATCAGGAGAACAAAGATAAGTTTCATCCACCACTGCCAATTAGGCAACCCCTCGAACAGAGGGATCAAACTAAACATTGTGCTTTCCATTCCGATTTCGGTCATCAGACTAACGAATGCAGGAACCTGAGGAGGCAGGTGGAGATGTTGATAGCTAGAGGGGAGTTCGCGAGTTATGTTCAAGGCTCGGCGATAGAGCAGAATCAACCGGTGGAACAAATAAAAAGGAGTCATAAACAAAGCTCCCACAATTCACAACCAGTTCATATAATCAATGCTATCCATGGTCGACCCGAGCCTAGTGAAGAGTCAGATGAGCTACTCCGGGCATGCCTGCGGCAGGCGCAGATGAAGAAAAGGGTAGGCAGTGTGAATACTCTACACCAGCAGAGCCCGTCGATGCAGATAAAGTTCGACTGGACAGACCTGCAGCGTGTTCAACTGCCCCATGAAGACCCGTTGGTAGTCAGTTTAACAGTGGCGGACTGCTTGGTGCGCAGAGTTCTGATCAATCCTGGGAGCAGTGCGAATGTCATGCCGAGGGACACATTTGATAGGCTCGAGATTAAACTAGAGAGGCTCAAGCCCACTGGAAATCCCTTGTTAGGGTTCGATGGGAAGAGGGTGGAGCCCGTCGGGATGGTGGAAGTGGAAGTTCAAGCTGCAGAACGAGCTCTTATGGAAACTTTTGTGGTTGTAGAAATTCACCCCTCGTATAATCTCTTGATGGGAAGAGGATGGATTCACAGAGTCCAAGGTGTATCCTCAACTCTGCATCAGGTCATGAGGTGCCTCGGATCCGATGGAGATAAAGTGATAGACATTCGGGGGGATCAGGTCGCAGCCAAAGAGTGTTATTCCGTCACACTAAAGCATGCTGGGAAAGGGAAGGCGCCCGTCCGTTCGGCAAGCCCCAGATAGCAATTACAGGAACCTCCGCCCGAGCAGAACAGGGTAGAGGATTCAGTCGACTTGACCGGGGAGCCCCTTCTGGATGTGCAGATCGATCAGTCCAGGCCAGAACGAACTACCAGAGTAGGTATAAGACTGACCAGAGAAGAGCAGCAAGAGCTAGTGGATTTCTTGTCCCACAATGCCGACGTATTTGCATGGAGTCACCTAGACATGCCTGGAATTAGTCCCTCCGTATCCTGTCATTCACTGAATGTCAATCCCAATTTCAAACCAGTGAAACAGAAGCAGCGAAGATTTGCTCCAGAACGTAATCAAATCATAGCGGAAGAAGTCGATAGGCTGCTTGATGCGGGATTTATCAGAGAAGCGCACTACCCTGATTGGTTGTCCAACGTCGTTGTCGTGCAGAAGAAGAATGGGAAATGGCGAGTATGTATTGATTTCACCAATTTGAACAAAGCCTGTCCGAAGGACAGCTTCCCGCTGCCTAAGATTGATCAAATGGTGGATGCCACCACCGGGTATGAGCGTTTAACCTTTCTGGACGCTTATTCAGGCTATAATCAGATCCCTATGGACCCCGCAGATGAAGAAAAAACTTCTTTTGTCACCGAGCGAGGAACATACTGCTACAAAGTTATGCCTTTCGGACTAAAGAATGCGGGAGCAACTTATCAAAGACTTGTTAGCAAGATTTTTAAGAATCAAATGGGAAAGATTGTGGAAGCCTATATTGATGATATGGTGGTAAAGAGTAGGAAGAGGGATGATCATCTGAAGCATCTGCAAGATGTATTTGATGTACTGAAGCGATATGGGATGAGGCTCAATCCAACCAAGTGCTCGTTCGGTGTGAGTTCCGGACAGTTTCTGGGACACGTGGTCAACCGTAGAGGCATTGAAGTTAGCCCCGCTCAAGCAGAGGCTCTGATTAAGAATGCCGAGCCAAAGACGATCAGAGAGGTGCAAGCCCTCACAGGACGAATAGCTGCATTAAGTCGATTTATTTCAAAATTGTCAGATCACTGCAAGCCGTTCTTTGACACGATTCGGAGCCATGGAAGGCAGGTCTGGGGGGATGAGCAACGACAAGCATTGACTCATTTGAAGGAATATATGCAGAATCCACCAGTCCTGTCAGCCCCAGATCCGGAAGAAAAGTTATTTCTATATCTTGGAGTATCTGGTGTCGCGACAAGTGCCGTTCTGATTCGTTGCAAGGAAGGGGTGCAATACCCGGTATTTTATGTAAGCAAAACACTGACAGAGGCAGAACAAAGATACTCAAAGGCCGAGCGGGTGGTACTTGCACTTGTAAATGTAAAAAGAAAGTTAAGGCATTATTTCGAATCCCACCCCATAGCTGTTCTAACAACTTTTCCAATCAGAACGCTTATGCACAAGCCAGAGCTCTCGGGCAGAATGACAAAGTGGGCCATAGAGTTGAGTTCATTTGACATAACGTATGAGCCGAGAACAGCTGTTAAAGGGCAAGCGGTGGCCGATTTCCTGCTAGAATGTGATGCCGAGGATACGGAAGAAGACCTTAGATGCGGCTCTTGGAAACTTTTTGTGGATGGCTCCTCTAACCAGATGGGGGCTGGAATTGGGATCAAACTGCAAACCCCAGAGGGTACTTCCTTGAGTCAAGCACTCAGACTTGAGTTCCGAGCCACCAATAATGAAGCGGAATACGAGGCGTTGCTAAATGGATTAAAGTTGGCCAGAGAGCTACAGATTAAAAGTTTGACTGTGTATAGTGACTCGCAGTTGATTGTTCGGCAGGTAAATGGTGAGTACGTGACCAAGGATGACACGATG